CTCTCTCTCTCTGTCTCTCTCTTTCCCGTGCGAGCCCATGTCAGGGGGTTACGGCAATGAATACGTTCAGGGTTTTTGTTTAAGAGGATTTTTCTGTTGGTTTATCATACATTGAAGTAGTTTTGCTTTAAGAACGAGGTTTCCTTCTGAGAAAATTTAGATTACGTACCGGCTAGCCACTCAGGGCGTCAAATATTCTCAAACCACAATGATATGAAACACGAAAAAAGCTTTATATAGGAGGGCCCTATAATGATAAGTTATTTTGTTCTTGAAAAACCTAAATCTTGATATAGCCCAGGGCTTTATATTCGTGCGCGTAGTGGCTCATTATCAAAAGATCTTAAACCTTAGATTTCAGGCAGGAGTACCTTTGACGGTCTGACCGGAGATTTTTCTGTAATTACTGTTAAAGGCATTCCTGTTATTGTGAACACAACGAAGATAGTAACGGGGGAATCTTTGGGGTAGTATAGGAACCTCCCTCGGAAGGGGCGTGCCCGATTGATGGGTACAGCGTTTAACACAGTGAAGTGATGCCACACGGGATAAAAAGCGAGTGGCACCCAGTTACTATGAACAGAAACGCAACCAGTTATATGCTCCATCTCAACTGTGGCAAACAGTATGATGTAGCAATTTCCTCACAAATTGGATATGAGCAAATTAATTTGAGCGAGAGCAAGATATCGAATTTCAAGACCGTTGGAGGTACTATCACACTGTAGTGTGACTTTAAATATGGTACTAAGTAATCCATGGGTTGCACTAGCAAATTTACTGCAGATATCATTCACTCAGGGTGATACCACAATATTAATAATGACGTCATATATGGCGTCTCACAAGAGTGGTAATGCATCAAAATTTGCTGAGACCTAGGCCTTGGCGGAAATTTTGATAAAAACTAGCTTAACGGTGATGGCGGTTGGTTCATTAATAATAATAATTACGGCAAGGAACTTTGCTTTTCAAAAACTGATTTACGGACCCAAAGTCCAAAATATTCTGTTGTAAATAAAATGAGGTTCCACATAAAAACTGGGTCTCAAAAATTCTCCAAACGGAATGATAAGAAACACAAAACTAGTTCTTTACTCTTAAGATGTATCGAAATGTACATCAGAAGTTTCTGAGCATTATCACGAAAATGAAATAGAAAAGAAACTCACAGCAAAGGGCTTTATGATCGGAAGAAATAACGGTACGTGTATAATTATTCTTTAAAAAAAATCTTAATGCAAATTCAACACATTGTCTTACTCTCGTACGGGTAGGAAATCATGATCTTCGAAAGGATTTTTGAAGCTATGCATTAGGCGGTTTATTTTCGGAGGGGGAGCTTATGATCGAAATTTTATGACTCGGAAGTTTTCTTTTATCATTATTCCAGGAGTTCCTGTTATCGTAAACACGACCAAAGAAGTAACTCGCGGGATCGTTGTCGTCGCGTGGGAACCTCCCTGGACGTGTCCAATTGACAAATACACTGTGTACTACAGGGAAGTGATATTCCTCGAGGTAAAAAGCAAGTGGCAGTCGATTACCGTGAACGGAAATGAAACCAGCTACACGCTTCACCTCAGCTGCAGGAAAGAGTATGATGTAGCAGTTACCTCGTGGAGTGCTCATGGCGAGAGTAATTTGAATGACAGTAAGATATGGAACTTAAAGACTGGTGGAGGTAACGTTGATAATTATTGCAACTTGAAATAAGAAAGGGAGAAATGATAGTTTCAATAATACATTTCAGAGAGGGAATTATTTGCTTCCTCCATACTCGGACCTAGACCTATATCGACGCCTAAGCACTGTCCCGTTGTTTTTGTCACAGGCGGGTCTGGTTAAATTTTAATGAAATTGGATGAAAGTTAAAGGAACTATAAAACAGGAAAATTTGTAAAAAAAAAAAAGAAAAAAGAAAAAAGAAAAAAGAAGCAGGGTTAAATAGATAGACTCAGCACGAGAGCGCGTCAGGTTGGTCCCAATTATCAATTACAAACTCAAAAATCTTACAAGCAAAGTGACAAGATGATATAGATTATTTTGCCACGAAAGGGAAACAACAAAAAAATCGGATTACCCGATGGGAATCGCACCCATAACCGGTCAAATGCCCTACCCACTGATCTACGTGGAGACTGGTGGCAAGTTATGCCATTTACTACGTTCATATGTTCCTATGAGGTATCTTAAGAGGAGATAAAGAAAAAGGACCACGGAGGAAAGGAGGAAGGGAGGAAGGGAGGAAGGGAGGAAGGGAGGAAGGGAGGAAGGGAGGAAGGGAGGAAGGGAGGAAGGGAGGAAGGGAGGAAGGGAGGAAGGGAGGAAGGGAGGAAGGGAGGAAGGAAGGAAGGGAGGAAGGGAGGAAGGGAGGAAGGGAGGAATGGAGGAAGGGAAGAAGGGAAGAAGGGAAGTAGGGAGGAAGGGAAGAAGGGAAGAAGGAAGGGAGAGAGGGAGGGAGGAAGAAATGGAAGCAGGGAGGGAGAGAGGAAGGAACTGATAATTACTACCATTTTCCAATCTAGAAACAACAAATGGGCCTCCTGTCAAGATGGGTATTTTCTCCAAGGGTTTTACCGCTCAAGTGACGTTTGGCTACGCAATATCGAACAAGCATTGTGTTGCAGGCCGAGAAACTTTGCAAACATAGACGTGGCCAGGGATTGCTATGATGAAGACGTGAGGCTATCACTAGATAAGGAAGGCTGGAGCAAGTGTAAGCAAGACTGGTATTACATGGTGGGGATTTACAAAGAAGGCTGTGACGATCTGCACTGTATTGAGATGATTAGATGCTGTAGAATGCGGCTACCAGGTACACACTCTGAGATATTATTTTCACAAAATAAACCAAACCTACATACTTCTTCTAGGGAAAACCCTGGGATTACTTTTCTTTGCTGTTATGTTTTTTTTAGATATGCCAGTTCTTGGCCACTGGCTGCTGAATGGTCAAGACGAACTTCTAAGGTTGGTGATGATCAGTTAATCAATCAATCAATCAATCTTTGCGCGTCGTATTTTCAACTCTCTTCTCGGTGTTTGGATATTCGGATGAAACACTGCCTCTAGTGTTTGATATATTACATCAAAAACTCGAGACAGTGTTTCATCGGCTATCCAAACACCTGGAATTTTATCAAAAATACTCCGCCGCGCGTCATATTTTCAACTCCCTTCTCGGTGTTTGGATATCCGGATAAAACACTGTTTCTCGTGTTTGATATATTACAAGATGCGTCAAGTGGTTAGTCTTTGTAACTTTTCCGATGTTTGTGAGATCATCACCTTGTCAAGGTAGTCTGGGCAGAGTAGCAGGAACATCTGGTGTCTATCATGATCTGTGATTAACTTGTGTAGATGGGCGCCAGTCCTGCCCGTCAATGTGGGGCCGTTAGTCAATTGAGGGCTCATCTGCCGTTTTATAGATTTTGTTTTTAATCCTAAATAATGTCCACTCATCCTCTCCACCAGGGAGGAACTGACGTGTGAGCCACCACAACCGAGCTTATGATTAGTTGGCACTCTAGTACGTGAGTTGTGCCTGAGATAACTTACTCTGTATATTTGAAAAACAAAAATGAAATAAGATAATGTATTGAACCATATTCTTCTGAAAATAGGTGTTCCTGGTATCGTGAACTCGACCAAGGCTGTACCAGGAGGGACTGTTGTTGTCGCATGGGAGCCTCCCTTAGAAGGGGCGTGTCCAGTTATCACTTACACTGTGTACTACAGAAAAGTGGCGAAGAAAAACAAGTGGCAATCAGTTACCGTGAAAGGAAAAACAAACAGTTATACGCTGCAGCTCAAATGTAGGGAAGAGTATGAAGTAGCTGTTACCTCACTGAGTGGATTTAAGGAAAGTGCTTTCAATGAGAGCAAGATATGGAACTTCAAAACCCAAGGAGGTGATATGGCATGTAATATGTCATGCAGTGATACTTACAGAGTTTTTACCCGGGCATTTTTGGTTTAGATTTTCAGGGAGATGTTCTTAGTTAATTAATTATGTGAAGGTTTACTAAGTGTTACATGTTTTAAACAAAGTACTGTGCTTCATCGTTAACTGTCATAATTTGACACTACTAAAGAAAAGTGAATGTTTGTGTCACTAATTTCGTTACAGTACTTTCAAGCATCCGTATGTGCTAGAATATTAATATTTCTGAGATGAAGCATTTTTCTCCAGCTGATGCTTTAGATTCTGTTCTTTCTCTTTACAGAAGTTCCGTCAATTCCTTTCATCAAAAACAAGGAAACAGAAATACCGAGATGTGATGTGATCCTTACATGGAGCCCTCCTGCAGACAACGGGTGTCCACTGACCATGTACACAATAAACTACCAACGAATTCAGCCACGAGAAATTGGGGAGCCCTGGTACCAAGTTAACCTCACTGACATCATGGCGACTAACTTTACTCTATCGTTATCATGTGACACGCAGTACACGATCGAGATCTCGGCCTGGAATGAACTGGGAGAGAGCGAGAGGTCAAGGCCGTGGATAATACAAACACTTCAGTCAGGTACTTTTTCGAATATTTCCTCTTGCAATCTCAGCCATAGCGAAGATAACCACCGAAAAGAGCCTGGTGACTAGGCAAAAAGATGGTGTTGTGCAAACTGTGAGCATTTTCCGTTTCTCGGCATTTATATATATATTTATTTATTTATTTAAGTGAAGGCAAAGTTGGCATTTTGGTATGGTATTTCAGTTCAGCGAAGAAAAGTTTTACGGAAGAGTTCTTCGGAAAGAAACTGATTCCACGATAACCTCCTACGCAGACCCTCTGCGCAACTCGTCACGCAATCTTCCTCACCCACATGGAAGAGGAAGATTGTGTGACTTGCCAAAAGAGCGTCAGTGTCCGTAGGAGACGGGTCCCACGATGGTAGCCGGCATTTCCATCTCTACTGGCATTAAGAATATAGGCCGAATGTGTCTGCTTTAAATAATATTCA